ATTCGCCGAGGCTAAATCTATATGCCCATTAAAATTTTGACAGCTGTCAATCTCAAAAAAAAAAATCTTTTGTTTTTTCCAAAAAACAAAGGTCGTTTTAGTGGGTTTTTGGGTGAGATTTATGTAGCAACAGTTGGTACAAAAAATTCAATTTCCCGTCGGGTTTGGAATTCGAATTTTTGAATTTTCCCGGCTCCTGATTGGTTTGGGGATTCGAATTTTGTTTATTCTCGGCTCTTGATTGGCTTTAAAATAATCTATATCAGTTAACAATGAACGGATTCGTTCAGATAAAACTTTTGTCGCACGACACTTTGGCAATATCGACAAATGTCATCTGTCAAATTTGACACATGTTCGACTTTTTCTCCGCTTTACTATAAAAGCTACGAAAATCAAACCCCGGTACAAGGCAGTTTCGTGACGCTAATTATCGATTTGTGTCAAAAAAAATTGACAGCTGTCAACGTCAAAAAAGCTTTTTTTTTATTTTGCGAATTTCGAGAAAAAAAGTAATAGAAAACGATCCCCGGACCCCAAAAACCTTAAATAAAAATTCCATAAAAATAAAAAAACAACGAAAATGACATTCCAAAACCTACTTGATAAAACTAAAGTTTTTCTCACTTATGCTCGTATTACACCTGTGTATTTTTCCATGTATTTATTCATGTAGTTCCAGGGTGCCAACATTATTTTGTTTTTCATAATGCTGATTTATGTTGCGTTTGAAGTTTTTTGGTTGTCACCCTGAACTACATGAATAAATACACGGAAAAATTCACAAATGTAATACGAGCATTACCCCGTTAAAACACTGGAAATTTTTGGTGGAAAATGAAGAAAACTCAAAGTCTCGTACTTTAAATCGGTTTTTCCGACCAGAAAAGCCCTGAAAAAGCGGACAAATTCAAAGAAAAACCTCTAAAAATGACATTCCAGAGCCTACTTAATGAAATTTGAGTTTTTGTCACTTACCCCATTGGAAAACTGGGAATTTTTAGCATAAAATGTAGGAAATTCAAAGCCTCGTATTCCAAATCGGTTTTTTTTTGACTGAAAACGGCTTGGAAAAGCGGAAAATTCGAGGAAAACTGGATAGAAATGTAAATACGCATGGGCGTCGTTACGAGGTTTCTCAGGGGGGGGGGCAGTATTATAATAAGACCATTTCCATTAGCGCCGCAGGCAACCGTGTCGTAGGCTAATTCTTTTTGGTGCCACGCCCCTTTTTGAGCATTTTAAGGTACTTAGTTGATATCGATATTTAGTTAAAAATGATGGTATTTTTTTCCGCAACAAATTCACTGTCCGCATCATTTGTTCAGTGGCGACGCCAGGGGGGCCAGAGGGAGCCGGGGCCGCCACTGAAATTTAGCCGGCCCCCCCCTGAAAACTTGCTCTCATGTCGGCAACAATGCAATGTAACATCAGCAGCCTCTGTCGGTTAATTCGGTACAGTGTTGCCAACTGATGGGATGTGGAAATACCTAGATTTGAAAAAAAATGTCCCTAGAACTCCCTAGAATTTATTTTTTTCAAATTCATTTCAGAATTATTATAACAGTCCAAATAATAATTGTAATATGTGATTTATACTTGCAATTTACAAGAAAAAAAATTATATTTTCAAAACTAATCGCAATAATCCTCAAGTTTTTAAAAAACAACATAGAATTTCCAAAGCAATAAAACATTGTTATGACGGCACTAGTGGGGTAGCGACAGTAGCTTTGTTTTGGTTCAAAATTTGGAATTTGGAATGGTTGTGGGATTGCGCAGAACTGCTTGCGCACAAAAAATAATTGAGGAATGTTTAAATACTATGTAGTTCTGAACCGATTCCAACCAGAACATGCCGCAAATCACAAAATCCCTAAACAGTTCCTTCTTCAGAGCAAGAACTGAGAGAACCGTTCTAGACCATCCGAGAATTGTTCTTAAGTTAGTGACGACAGACTGTTAACAACTGTCTTCTGATTCGACGCGATTGTTGCGGGAATCCCCACACACATCACGTTACACGAAAAGTTAAAAGCACTTCACAACATACACAACGAACCAATAATAAGTCACTTTTTTTTAAATATAATATTGTATTATATATATTTATTTTTTTATAATTTATTAAATTGTATAAGAAAAATTAAAAATATCAGAAAACCCCCTAGAATTTCCCTATATCCCTAGACAATTTTTTTTTGCAAATTTATCCCTAGAACTAGGCACAAATCCCTAGAGTTGGCATCACTGATTCGGTATCGGTATCGTAAACTAACAGGAATTCTCATCCTCATAAGGCGTACATTCGTCAATTCTCGAGTCGGCAGGGCCTGCGAGTGACGTCACTAATAATTAGCAGCATAACAGCTTATAATGATGACGTCACCCGCAGGCCTCGAGGGGATGCTTGCGATTCAGTTTGTGCTTGTTTTTTTGTCAATTTTAAATGTAGAAAAGGTGATTTTAACAAGATTATAACGATTGCTGTGACCTGTGATTGTTTTAAACTCGGCTAATGCATTTTACGCCAAGTGTTGAAGTGTTCGGCTGAAATGGCAGACATTTTCAGCTCAAGAAGCAGTCCTATTAGGTTGAGTGTTCTTGGGACAGGCAACTGCGATGCTGCTTTCGGTTTCCTGGTATTACCTCAAACATAATAGTGTCGACAGGTACCTACTTCCCATTTTTTATTCCAAAGAACAAAAGCAGTAAAATAAAAACAAATGCCCCCCTAAATTTTTCTGGCCCAGTCTGCCCCCCCCCCCCCCCTAACATAAAACTCTGGCGGTCGCCACTGCATTTGTTTAGGTAATTTTTGACTCCATGCAAATTGATAGGATTCAACCGAAGGTTGGAACTCTACCATCGATGCAGTGTTTTATAATACCGGCCCTAAGTCAAGTGAAATTCAATTCCGTTTAATGTAATGAAAATGTCAGCCAATTTTTCAAATTACCTAACAAATTTTGAAAAAATAGAAAAAAGCAATCTCTCTTTTACTGCTCTTTTGTTCAAAAGACTATTTCTAGGGGGGGCAAATGCCCCCCCTTGTCCCCCCCCCAAACGACGCCCATGTAAATACGTCAATTAAAAATTGCCGACTGTCAAAACTGGTGAATGACATTTATTACAAAACCTATTTGAAGTTGGTAAACGGTGTTGCCACATCAAAACTTAAAAAAAAAAACATTTTAAATGGGATTTTGTTATTTATGTCATTTTAAAACTGGACATTTTTGCTAGAAAATGAAGAAAACTTAAAGCCTCGTATGTTAAATTGCCCTTTTCCATTGAAAAGCCCCGGAAAAGTGAAAAATTTGAGGAAAAACTGGCAAAAAATTACAAGGCGTCACTTCAAAATGGCCAACTAAAAACAACGTTGCCACATCTCATTTCGGAAAACAAAAATAACATTTTAAAAGGGTTTTTTGTTTAAAATTCAATTTAATAATTAATTAATAATGATTATAATAATTAAAATACTCCAAATAAATCATAGGATACTTGTTTTTAATTTAATTTCAATGAAAATGACATTACAAGGTTTCCTTATCGATTATAGTGAGTAAGACAAAGACAATGATAAAATAGTATATGTTTGTAAAAACCACCGTTTTCTGAAAAAAGTAAAAATCTTAAGAAAACCAACATTCCAAAGCCAATTTGATAAAACTAAAGTTTTTGAATATTCCCGACTCTTTGATCGGACGCTAAAAATCGCATTTGAAATATTCTCGGTTTTTGATTGGCTCCAAATTATTCGCTGACCAATAGAATTATAAACTGAGTCCCGTGATTAAAATAACTCTAGCCCTCCGGGCTCGCGAATAACTCCGGCCCTTCGGGCTCGCATATAACTCCGGCCCTTCGGGCTCGCATATAACTCCGGCCCTTCGGGCTCGCATATAACTCCGGCCCTTCGGGCTCGCATATAACTCCGGCCCTTCGGGCCGGTATTACTGAGTATCCCAGATTCACAGATATTTGTCGTGGAGGTGCGGAATTGATTGGAATAATGTTGTCAGATTTTTCTAAATTACATTGAAATATCGAAAATTGGAAAGTGTAATTTGTAAACTATTATTTCAATCAGGAATAAAAAACTGAGATTGAATTTTCAATTTTTTGGGGGAGATTTAGCCTCCCCTGCCTCCTCTGACGAGCCGCCACTGAATGAGTGAGAAAGAGACGAAGATAAAGTGGGATATAATTAACCGTGACACTAATTTTTTGGTTTGAGTGACTCAATGATGGACTTGTCTTGAAATAGGAAAATGCGAGATGACATAGGAAAAACAATAAGTAAGAAAAAGATAAAAATAAAGTAAGACATTGAAACATTCTGATACTGATATTGAAGACTTAATAATAATATTGAAAGTACCCAAATACCTAATAAAAGTACGAATCGGTACAGGTATTCAAAAGTATTGAAACATTACATCACTAGTTTTATGGAAATTTGCATTATATTGAGACAGCCCAGATGACGTCATAAAGGTTATCAGGCAATCAACCTCTCTCAAACAACTTTAAGTTCAGTTTTGTTACTTCAAATTAAAGATCACGTGAGCTGCTGTCAACAATGTCATCTTTTAGCTCGCTTATTGTAGATTTTTCTTAGGCGCGTTCTCATATGCTAGATTGTTTCCAACAACAACCCTGTATAAACGGGTTGCAACGCAACGTTTTACCAGTGCCATAGATAAAAATGGCAATTTGATAAGCAAAGGTAAGATAAGGACAGACAAAAAATGTCTTTGTTCCACCAGACCGAGGATCCAAAAAAATAACGCTTTCTTGAGAGAGGGGTAATACTGGAATCTGAATAGGAAAAAGTGTTTTTGTTCTCTATTTAATTAACCTGTCTAAACAGTTTGCATTAAAATTGGCCCATAAGATTTTGACTTGCCAAACCTTATATGTAACTTTATATGTTGGAAATATTATTTTTATGTTTAAAATTACACTACTAAACTGAAAAATTCTTGTTTCAGAACGCTACAGATATGAAACCGTTGAAAATCAACGACGAAATAACGATCATACCTCAGCCGGCCAAATCGACCAATGGCAAGGAGGCCGCCAAAAGTACCGCCGTCGCCGGTACCAGTAAAACTAGGTAAAAACCGCCCCTATGGTCCCCTCAATTCATTATTGTTTATTTATTTATGTTTTTTAAAACAAAAATTTAGTGTTATTTTTTTTTTAAATTTTCAACGCTTGATGTACAAGTGTATAGAGCTTGTATTGAAAAATAATATACATTTCTTATCAGTTGTAAATAAGGTTTATATTTAAAAAATAATAGTTTGTAGAGATTTAATTAATTAATTGACGTTTCAACTACATAGAAGATTCCTTTGTTATATTTTTTTTAACTCATAGGTCTGTTCCCACAGGAGTTTCTGACAGTTTGCAACCTGTCAAAAACAATCGCTCAGCTGAGTTACAGATTTATCTTGTAACGACAGCATTAAAAACATGTATGGGCGATGGTTACTAACAGTTTGCAAACTGTCAGAGACCTAAAGACAACAGACTTTTAATTATTGTAATGTTTTCTTTAAATTTTTGGAAAACTATATTTATAAGATTCCTAAGAAAAACAATAAGTGGATTATTTGTATAGAGTTTATAGAAATATAATATGTAACTTTGACAAGTTTTATTTTTGAAATTTTGATCCTTTTTGACTCACCAAATCCCATATAATTTGGTCATTTTATACAGGGTGTCCCACGACGTTTTTCCCAGGTGATAACTTCTGAACATGTCATCCAAAATAATTAAAGTTTTGAGGATCTGGGTAACTTTTTGTGCCGTTTCTACCATTGTCATTTTCGCTTCAATTTAAGTCAAGTGACGTCAACTTTAGAATCTTACATGTAACTCGTGGTATATTATGGAATTTTTCATTAGAAAATTAAATTACAAAATCGGCAATGCCATATTTGTTAAAGAATATAATGAAAAATTATACAGTGGAACTTATGATGTTATCATTTGGACAAAACCTTGTGGGACACCCTGTATTACAGATAATTTGAATTTGTACAAAATTGATATTATAGGTAAAGAGAAGAAGCAACATGAAGAACCAAGAATGCCTGTAAATAATTAATTATTGGACTTTTTAAGTGTAAAATGTACATATAAAAAAGGTAAGCGTTAAATTTAGTGCCACAGAGACACTCTTTTGTTCTAGAGTAAGTACCAAGTGCAATTACTTTTTTGATTACTTGGTTGCACACACTCTGTATATAAAAAGACTATATACCTAGTAGAAATATAATTTTTTTTCTGTGAACGAGAAAAACAATGTTTGAATTATTGAAATTTACAAGTGGATAAATAATTGTTTATATTAATTAATTCTTAATTATTACGGATTATGGGTGTTTCTTTTAGTAAATTATTGATTTGTATTTACTTGATTTAAGAACAAAAAAAAAAATATTATTGTAAAGGCAGGAAAATAATATTTAAAAGTAATATATATAATCTTATTCTTTTTTAAATTATTTGTTTTATTTTAGTTAAGTATAAATAACAATAAATAATTAACCTAGAACAAGCAAATCGAGTTCGGTATCTTACCCCGCTAGTTCGGAGTAAGATAATTTGCATTCGGTGTTAAAGGAGTAGACTGCACTAAATGCACAAATACCTCGATAGATGGCGCCAGCTTTGTGTGCTTTTGTCACAATGAACTTTCCTTATCAAAGATGACATTTACCATATGATTTTGGCATCTATTGTATATTTTTGACGAAAATTTTTAGTTTTAAAATCAAGTTTCCTAAATAATACGAGCAGCTTCATTGGATACAAATTACAATTGTGACAGTGACAGTACTGACAGTTCTTTTATTGTGACGTGCTGTCCACTAATGTGAGTGAGAGTAAGATAGAAAAAAACGTCAATGCCACTGCGGCTCGACAACCGATCCACCATCCACGCAACCGGATTTATGACGTCACGCATAACTCTCAAACTTGAACTTTTTCCTTGATTTATAGATGGCACTGGAAACGATTCAGAAAGATTTTTGACTTAGATGTCAGATGTCAGTTAAAAGTCGGTATGCTACTGATTTCTACTGATTTTTCAGAGTGACATATACTGAAAACGAAAAAATCCATCTGGGAACACTGATCCTAGTAGGCGCTGGACTGTCAACGGCCATTCAAGATTCAATATCATTTTGAGGAACACTAAGGGCCATATTCTCCGTAGTCCATAAAACCTGGCTTAGTCGAAAAGCTCGGCTTTGTCACACAAAAAGCCAAGCGTTTCCACTAAGCCAGGCTTTATGAACTACGGAGAATATGGCCCTAAGGCTCCCTTAAAATGGTCGGTATAAACAGCCATTAGTTTCCTTGATGTTCTTTAGACAATTTTTAGACTCGACGCACGACTTCACTGGTTTAAAATTCGCGTATCATACAAAGACGTTGGACTGTCAACGGTTGTAACTTCACTAGATTTCAAGTTCGCATTTTATCCAAGTAGACGCTGGACTGTCAACGATCATTCAAAATGGATGACATTTGTGAATTTTTGGTAGTCGGCCATTTTAAATGAAGAGGCCATGGTAAATTAGAGCTCTGTAATGATTACATATAGATTTTCATAATATTTAGACTGTGGGTTGTTAACATTTAAGAAAATGATTCGCATTCGATAAAACAGTGATTTACATAATTAAGTTTCCTTGATATTCTTTAGATAATTTGTGGGCTTGAGGCACAATTTCACTGGTTTGAAGTTCGCGTATTATCCAAGTAGACGCTGGACTGTCAACAGTCATTCAAAATGGATGCCATTTTTGAATTATTGGTAATGAGCCATTTTAAGTGGAGAGACCACGGTAAAGTAGAGCTCTGTGATGTTTTCATATAGATTTTCATTTTCTTTAGACTGTGGGTTAACAGTCAAATAAATGATATCTCGAAGCTGAACTGCGTTCGATAATTACAGAGATTTACGTAATGGCAGCAAATATCCAGTTGAGTTCCTCAAAATTTTGTAGAGGGCGCGAGTGAACTTGGAGTGCTTTAAGTTTTGGCGGTAAATGTCAATAGTTTAAAACCGATTAAAATGAGTAGAAGGAAAGATGACTACATATGAACAATGGACAATGGATAAGTTAAAATATCTTCTAAAGCGTTCAGTGGCCCTTAGAGAATATTTTTAAAAGTGTCAGCGTCAGCTTGTCTTGAAACCACACATTAAACTTAAATTTTGAGGTTAGAATTACAATAGAATTTTTAGGCGCCAAAATTCAAAGAGATCCAAGTACAGAAGCGCCCTCTTCAACTCAACTGTCAATATCACATGCCATTGAGTTTTTTTGATGTTCTTTAGATAATTTATAGGCTTGAGGAACAATTTCAATGGTTTGCAGTTCGCATATTGTCCAAGTAGGCGCTAAATTGTCAACATCATTCAAAATGGATGCCATTTTCAGATTTTTGGTGGTGGGCCATTTTAAGTGAAGAGGCCACGGTACAGTAGAGCTCTGTAATCTTTTATATAGATTTTCATAATACTTAGACTGTGGCTAATGATATCTCGAAGCTGAACTGCGTTCAATAAAAACAGACATTAACGTAATTAAATTTTCTTGATGTTTTTTCGATATTTTTTAGGCTCGAGGCACGACTTCACTGGTTTGAAGTTCGCGTATTATCTAAGTTGGCGCTGGACTGTCAAAGGTCATTCAAGATGGATGCCATTTTTTAAATTTTCAGCAGGCGGCCATTTCAAGTGAACAGGTAACGGTAAAGTAGAGCTCTGTAATGTTATTATATACATTTTTCTAATCTTTACTTACACTGTGGATTAACATTTAAAAAAACGCTGTGACTAGAGCCCCCCATATCCAGTCCCGAATGACGTCATCAGTAGTTTTGTCGGAACTGGTTTCTTGCCCCGATTCGGGTCTCGAATTAAAACACCTCTGTTTTAAGATTATACCTAGGTATAGCCATAAATCATGTAATGTTGTTGTTTCCTATACATATACAGGGTGTCTCACAAGATTTTACCCTAAAATTGCTGGCACCCCTCGACCGAAACTGAAGCACAAGTGGTGAAATTGGTTGACACAGATAGAAGCGGCAAAAAAAAGCCACCAAGATCCTCAAAATTTTAATCACGCGTTCCGAAGTTTAAGTTATCACCAAAGTTTATTACCTGGGTAAAACATTGTGGGACACTCTGTATATATAAATTATAGGTGTAACGTGCTTTTATGTGAAAGGTGGGCATGGTTTTACCTAATGAAGGAATTACTTATTATTGTGATTCTACTTTAGGGATTTAGGGACTATAATATGCCAGTCCCGATTCGGGACCTATATCCAGTCCCGACAAAACTAATAATAACGTCATTTATTGGGACTAAATGTGGAACCCGAGTGCCCGAATCGGGACTCTAGTCACAGTGTTAAAAAAAATGATATCTCGAAGCTGAACTGCGTTCGATAAACAGAGATTTACGTAAATAAGTTTTCTTGATGTTTTTTAGATTATTTTTAGGCTCGAGGCACAAGGTTTTAAGTTCGCATATTACCAAGTAGGCGTTGGACTGTCAACAGTCATTCAAGATGGATGCCATTTTTGAATTTTTCGTAGTCGGCCATTTTAAGGAAAAATGCCACAGTAAAGTAGAATTTTGTAATGTTTTCACAATTAATTAAGTTTTCTTGATGTTCTTGAGATAGTTCTTAGACTTCACTGATTTGAAGTTCGCATAGTATCCATGTAGGTGCTTGACCAGTGTTGCCAGATTTTGATTTTGAAATTATGGTACATGAAATTTATTTGAAAAAAAAATTATCGTACAGGGTCCAGGTTCCTGAAGTTCATAGGTTGTCTGGTAATGGGTAACTTGATCACAGAACTTGATGACGCATCTGGAGTGCGCGTGACATCAATGAAATGACAAACAGGCAAACTGTGACAGCGATAGTACTGACAGCTTTTTTATTGTGACGAGCTGTCCACTGACGTGAGTGAGAGTGAGATAGAACAAAACGTCAATGCCACTGCGGCTTGGCAACCGATCAACCGGATTTATGACGTCACGCATAACTCTCAAACCTCTAAACAGCAAAAACATGAGAAAATAAACGAAGGAGTATTATAAAGTTAAGAAAAATACAAAAAGGTCAAAATTATGGTAAATTATGTATTATTGCATTCACGATTTTACTAGGTATGTATTTTTCTGCAAAATTATGGTGCAAATACATAATTATGGTACGCCTGGCAACACTGTTCACTCCAGATAATTTGCATTCAGGTAATAAAGGGAGTACACTCTAAATGCACTAATGCCTCGATAGATGGCGCCAGCTCTATGCGGTTTCGTTGTCAAATATGACGTTTACCATATGATTTTGGCATCCATTGTATATTTTTTGAGGAAAATTTTTAGTTTTTCAATCAATTTTCCTAAATAATATAGAGCAGCCTCTAGCTTATATGAATATTTTATTTAAGGATAAACTTAAGTAATTTTTTTAATAATAAAATGGTTGGTAAACATGTTTATTATTGACGTGATACAAATTACAATTTTTTCCTTTCACTATTTTGTTGAAAAACAATATTGCCCAATAAATATACCCAAAATGTATTTAATTTCGATTAAAATTTGTAGTTTAGTGCATGTTTTTGTTAATTTTTCTAGTGCTGTAAAGGAGAATGGAAAAGTTCCCATTGAAACAAACCAAAGGGCCCCCAGTGTCTCCTTCTTATCAGGCAGTTAACAAAAAGGTAACAGGAGTTTATTTTACTTACCTTTAATTATTTAAACTTGATAGTTATTCACTTACAAGTGTGAGGAAAGTGTACTTTACTGCACTTATTTGTGAGTGGAAAGTAGCACTTTACTGCATACTATAGTGTGTTGTAAAGTAGACTTTAGTATTTAAAATCAGTTGAATATTTTTTGAAATTCCATGTAAACAAATATAGGAATAAAGTAGAATAATTTAAACAGTGGGACAAATTTTGATTATTCCTGGTGCTTGAGTAGCCAAGAGCTGGGAATAATAAAGAGACAGCAATATAAGAAATTCAATAAATAAGAAAAAGACAGAAATATAGTTGGATGAGAATAAAATGTCAAATTTTAATTATTTCTGGTGCTTGTATGTAATTTTTGTATCTGGCCAACAAAAAGCTTAGAATAGGCAAACAAGACAAAGAAAACAACATAAGAAAATTACTGGTTAAGAAAAAGACAAAGATAAAGTAGAATATGTAACATAGTGAGGCAAACTTTGATTATTACTGGCGCTTGAGTGATCAAGAGCTTGGAATAAGATAGAGACAACAATATAGGAAATTCAATAAATAAGAAAGAAACAGAAATAAAATGGGATAAGAGAAAATATAGCACAAATTCCAATTATTCCCGGCGCTTGTGTGACTGTAGTAGTAGAGGGGAATTTTTTACGCATAATTTCTTAAAATTCCTCCAGATACCCTATCACAAATTCCTCCAAATACCCCACCACGAACTTCTGCAAATATCCCACAAATTCCTCTAAAAAAAGGAAACATTTTGAAACTTTTTGTATATAAAGAGGAAGGTGAGAAGCTCATTTTCCCAAAATTTCAAATTTTTCCAGTGAAAAACAGCAATATGAAAAATCTTGAAAATCAACCTACAATAACTGAATTAGTTGAAAATATAGTTTCACACATTTCAAAGTTTTCCTAGAAAACTAGTGAAGGGAAAATTTTGAAACTTTTTGCATGTAAAGAGGAAGGTGAGAAGCCATTTTCCCAAAATTTCAAATTTTTCCAGTGAAAAATAACAACATGAAAAATTTTGGAAATCAACCTACAAAAACTGAATTAATTGAAAATACAGTCTCACATAATATTTCAAACTTTTCCTGAAAAACTAGTGAAAGGAAAATTTTGAAACTTTTTGCATGTAAAAAGGAAGGTGAGAAGCTCATTTTCCCAAAATTTCAAATTTTTCCAGTGGAAAACAGCAACATGAAAAATCTTCAAAATCAACCTACAAAAACTGAATTAGTTGAAAACGAGGGGTCGACACCTCCTGACAGTAGGTGTACAAATCAGTTCACAGTACCTACAATACCTAAACAATACGGTCATAGGTCTGTAAAAATACCATGTATTTTCATAGCAATTGTCACAATACCTAAAATGACTCACAATACTTTCAAAATAGCTCTACAGTGCTGAAATAATACCAAAAATCTGTCAAAAATACTTAATAGTATCTCTACAGTACTCACAATACCCACCGACAATACTGATAATCCCTTGACAATACTAAAAGAATATGTGTGAATCGGGTTACGCGCTTTTGAAAGCGTTGCACCACATGACAGGCCAAGTGACAGAGAGGTGCATTCATTCGCAAATTCGCAATGAAATAAGTGAAGTTTCATATTGCATACAGTGACTCTATTACCCACAGTGGCGACAATTGCTGCCTTATTTTTGATTGGTTCTAAAATCCCATATATTTATATTGAAAACGCGGCCGTCTTGTTCCCACCTATTGCTTATTTCAAATATGAATATATGGGATTTGGGTGAACATCCATCATAAAACATGGAAAACAACGTATTTGATGCACCTAATAATAGTTATCAAATACGTCGATTTCAAGTTTTTATGATAGATGTCCATTTAAATACTATATATTAATATTTAAAAGTAACAAAAGGTTGGGAACAAAATGGCGGCGGGACCTCTATTGTCGCCACTGTATGTAAAGGTTTATTTAGCCACTGTAATATTGCAGTGAAAGAAAGTTTTGTGAAAATGTAGAGTCTTCAGCACAAAAAAATGGGACTCCCGATTTTTCCTATTGTAAAACAGGCTCACCAGCTACATTTTCGGCAATGACAGGGATTGTCATATATTTGACAAAAAATCTATTGTACAGAGAAAACTGATTTACCCAAAATAGCGAAAAATGATAATACCTGTCAGTCGGGTGTCTCACTTTTAATGCTTACGACTTTAATGGTCGTTTGCACCAACCATTTTAAGGAAGCCTTATTAGCAATAAGTATTCCTCAAAGCGATGTTTCTCCATATGTCAAAATGTCAATTTAAGGAATACTTATCGCTAAGGCTTCCTTAAAATGGTCGCTGCAAATGGCCATAAGTATTTATAATATACAATAAAGCCTGTTTTACATATTCGTGTATTTCTACATGTAGTTACTAAGAAAGAAATACATATTTTATTTCGAGGTTTGTTTTTAAAAAGTGCTTGGATGGAATTTGGGAGTGTGGGCGCTGTGGTTTGTTATAGGAAAATTAGTAAAATAATGGATGCACTACGTCATCAAAATCTATGACGTTATGGCATGTCACAATGTTGCCGCATCAACTTCGTTTTACTTTGACATACCATATGTCTAGTAAATTTTGTCATTTTCCTAGATTACATTTTTATTGATAAATTGACAAGAATCCTAATCCCAAACCAATCCCCAACTCGTTAAGAAGTGACAACAAATCTCAAATTGTTAAAATCAATGACCGAAATTACCCACGAGTGCCAACCTAAATCCCAGTTTATCGGCAGATTCTGTCATATGATCCGACTGCATTCTATCTCTTTTTAACTTGGGTTGAACAAAAGGAAAAATGCGCTCTGAATTGAAAACGAATTTTAATTTCTTACAAACTGCAATTGGCAATAATTTCGGCGTCATTGATGATGTGCATCCATTATTCTAATAAGTTTACTATATAACTATAGTTGAACCAAATCCAAGCGGCAGTAATGATATAACTGGCACTGGTCCTGGTAGGGCGTTTCAACCAATAGGAAGGCTGGATTCCCAGCTGGTGTTTGTTACCTAACAATTTAAAATTAGGTTATTTAATGTCATTACTGCTGCTTGGATTTGGGTCAACTATAGGTTGGTTAGACTCAAGGAGAATAACCGGTGTGAAGTTAGCACGCCGGCTCCAGCACGCCAAAGAATAAAGTGAGCACGCCATTAGAGCACGCCAAAGTGTAAAAAGTTAGCACGCCGCTCGAGCACGTCAAAAAGTAAAGTTAGCACGCCGCTCAAGCATGCCAAAGTGTGAGTTGGCACGCCATTCTAGCACGCCGCAATTTTTTTCCTTTCATTCACGTAAGATGATGTTTCACATCCCTTGAGCAAGCATCCCTCCAAATTTGAACGTGAAACACCATCTAGGAGTCTAAAGAAAAAATAAGAAAATATGAAATTTTCATTATTTTTCCATATAAGCGCTGATTTTCCTAAGTTCGACGGCTTGTAAGGAATTTTCCTTTTGAGGGATGATAAAGCATCCCTTGAGCAAGCATCCCTCCAAATTTGAACGTGAAACACCATCTAGGAGTCTGAAGAAAAGATAGGAAAATATGAAATTTTCATTATTTTTCCATATAAGCGCTGATTTTCCTAAGTTCGACGGCTTGTAAGGAATTTTCCTTTTGAGGGATGATAAAGCATCCCTCGAGCAAGCATCCCTCCAAATTTGAACGTGTAACACCATCTAGGAGTCTAAAGAAAAAATAAGAAAATATGAAATTTTCATTATTTTTCCATATAAGCGCTGATTTTCCTAAGTTCGACGGCTTGTAAGGAATTTTCCTTTTGAGGGATGATAAAGCATCCCTTGAGCAAGCATCCCTCCAAATTTGAACGTGAAACACCATCTAGGAGTCTGAAGAAAAGATAGGAAAATATGAAATTTTCATTATTTTTCCATATAAGCGCTGATTTTCCTAACTTCGACGGCTTGTAAGGAATTGTCCTTTTGAGGGATGATAAAGCATCCCTTGAGCAAGCATCCCTCCAAATTTGAACGTGAAACACCATCTAGGAGTCTAAAGAAAAAATAAGAAAATATGAAATTTTCATTATTTTTCCATATAAGCGCTGATTTTCCTAAGTTCGACGGCTTGTAAGGAATTTTCCTTTTGAGGGATGATAAAGCATCCCTCGAGCAAGCATCCCTCCAAATTTGAACGTGAAACACCATCTAGGAGTCTAAAGAAAAAATAAGAAAATATGAAATTTTCATTATTTTTCCATATAAGCGCTGATTTTCCTAAGTTCGACGGCTTGTAAGGAATTTTCCTTTTGAGGAAAGATAAAGCATCCCTTGAGCAAGCATCCCTCCAAATTTGAACGTGAAACACCATCTAGGAGTCTGAAGAAAAGATAGGAAAATATGAAATTTTCATTATTTTTCCATATAAGCGCTGATTTTCCTAAGTTCGACGGCTTGTAAGGAATTTTCCTTTTGAGGGATGATAAAGCATCCCTTGAGCAAGCATCCCTCCAAGTTTGAACGTGAAACACCATCTAGGAGTCTAAAGAAAAAATAAGAAAATATGAAATTTTCATTATTTTTCCATATAAGCGCTGATTTTCCTAAGTTCGACGGCTTGTAAGGAATTTTCCTTCTGAGGGATGATAAAGCATCCCTTGAGCAAGCATTCCTCCAAATTTGAACGTGAAACACCATCTAGGAGTCTAAAGAAAAAATAAGAAGATATGAAATTTTCATTATTTTTACATATAAGCGCTGATTTTCCTAAGTTCGACGGCTTGTAAGGAATTTTCCTTCTGAGGGATGATAAAGCATCCCTTGAGCAAGCATCCCTCCAAATTTGAACGTGAAACACCATCTAGTAGTCTGAAGAAAAGATAGGAAAATATGAAATTTTCATTATTTTTCCATATAAGCGCTGATTTTCCTAAGTTCGACGGCTTGTAAGGAATTTTCCTTTTGAGGGATGATAAAGCATCCCTTGAGCAAGCATCCCTCCAAATTTGAACGTGAAACACCATCTAGGAGTCTAAAGAAAAAATAGGAAAATATGAAATTTTCATTATTTTTCCATATAAGCGCTGATTTTCCTAAGTTCGACGGCTTGTAAGGAATTTTCCTTTTGAGGGATGATAAAGCATCCATTGAGCAAGCATCCCTCCAAATTTGAACGTGAAACACCATCTAGGAGTCTAAAGAAAAAATAAGAAAATATGAAATTTTCATTATCTTTCCATATAAGCGCTGATTTTCCTAAGTTCGACGGCTTGTAAGGAATTTTCCTTTCGAGGGATGATAAAGCATCCCTTGAGCAAGCATCCCTCCAAATTTGAACGTGAAACACCATTTTTTTAACTTTTTACTTTGGCGTGCTGGAGCGGCGTGCTAACTTCACACCGGTAGGAGAATACACATTCTAAGGCCTCGTTTTTGGTAATCGCCGCCATATTGGTTTTCAACCATTGCCGACGTCATAACAAAGTCATCAGCTGTTCAAACAGCTTAGGTCTAGGCGAGAAATGCCATGCTGCTTACGTCACAACTGGTTGTTTGGCGTAGGGGGGTAGGAGGGGATTTGTTAAACACAGGCCTTATGAGGATAGGCCATCCTATAGTGTATATCATCCATGGGTTAGACCGAGGATTAGACAATGTTTTCATTTTTGATTTTGGCAAGGAAAGTTGGTAGTACTGAAATTTTCTGTATATTTGCACCAAAAAATACCTAGCTAATCTTGTGAAGAAATTCATGAATAAATACTTATTTTTATACATGTAGAGATATACGTAAAAATACAAACGCGAGGGGCGGCTCACTCCCGAAATCGCTATACATTTTCATCCGAAATCTCGTGAAATCACTTCGAAAACCTTTGGAAATCTCGAAATCCATTCGAAATCGCGAAGAGCGAAATGCTATCCGCAATCCTTACGAAACTCTGAAATCCCAACCAAAATCCTTCAGAAATCTCGAAATCCCAACTGAAATGCTTCCGAATCCTCGAAATCCTTAGTGGTACGGCTTCGAATGTCTGAAATATTCCCTTAAAAATCGTTGAAATCCCCTGCGATTTCCGAAATCGAGGTAAAAACTGTGGTGAGCCGCTCATCGGTAAAACCGGTTTAGGAATTAGTAAACAATATACAGGGTGTCAAAAATACCATGCGCCATTATTGGTATATCGTAAACGGTAAAAAAGTTGCCATTTTCGAAGGTGATTAAAAATATATTTTCGTTGTTGCCAAATTTCTATTAGTTTCCAATATCCAGGATGATTTGTAGAAAAAACAGTTCTAGGTGTTTTTTACAAATCACCCTGTATCTCAGAAACTAATAGAAATTTGGCAACAACGAAAATATATTTCTGATAGCCATCGGAAATGGCAATTTTTTTCTAATTCAACGGCTCTCGTATCTCTTACTGTTTCCGATATACCTACCAATGGTGGCCCATGGTATTTTAGACACCTTATATGATAAGTTATAGGAAACGTTTTATATACGGGGTCCGCTATGTAAAACTTCCTAGTTTCATCACATTCGATTGAAAAATTAGCATCTTACCAATACATAGTGCATAAAGTTTAAAGACTATGTACCTAATAAACAAAAGCTGTCAATAAGTAAACCATCAGCAGTAATTTTTGCACACAATTTACACTCGACAATAAGTTTATTACATTCACAGTACTAATATTGGTTCTGAAAATACATAAACAGTACCGACAGTATTAAAAATTGCTTTGCAATACAGGTTAAGTATTGCTGTTTCATCCATAGTACCCGTAAGGTACCAGTTACCTAAATACTTAAAATATGTTAACAATATTTGACAATCCCTACAATACCATACAATACCTAGAATAAAGTGACAATACCTGACAATACTCGACTAGAACGGCCAGTTTACAGTAGGTGTACAAATTTCCACTCAGGTGTTGACCCCTCGGTTGAAAATACAGTCTCGTACATTTTAAAGTTTTCCTGGAAAACTAGTCTAAGAAAAATTTTGAAACTTTTTGCATGTAAAGAAAAAGGTAAGAAGCTCATTTTCCCAAAGTTTCAAATTTTTCCAGTGAAAAACTGCAACATGAAAAATTTTGAAAATCAACCTACAATAACTGAATTAATTGAAAATACAGTCTCACACATTTCAAAGATTTCCTGAAAAACTAGTGAAGGGAAAATTTTGAAACTTTTTGCATGTAAAGAAAAAGGTAAGAAGCTCATTTTCCCAAAGTTTCAAATTTTTCCAGTGAAAAACTGCAACATGAAAAATCTTGAAAATCAACCTACAATAACTGAATTATTTGAAAATACAGTCTCACATAATATTTCAAAGTTTTCCTGAAAAACTAGTGAAAGGAAAATTTTGAAACTTTTTGCATGTAAAAAGGAAGGTGAGAAGCTCATTTTCCCAAAATTTCAAATTTTTCCAGTGGAAAACAGCAACATGAAAAATCTTCAAAATCAACCTACAAAAACTGAATTAGTTGAAAATACAGTCTCATACATTTTAAAGTTTTCCTGGAAAACTAGTCAAAGAAAAATTTTTAAACTTTTTGCATGTAAAGAGGAAGGTAAGAAGCTCCTTTTCCCAAAATTTCAAATTTTTCCAGTAAAAAATTACAACATAAAAAATCTTGAAAATCAACCTATAATAACTGAATTAATTGGAAATACAGTCTCACATATTTCAAAGTTTTCCTAGAAAACTAGTGAAAGGAAAATTTTGAAATTTTTTGCATGTAAAGAGGAAGGTGAGAAACTCATTTTCCCAAAGTTTCAAATTTTTCCAGTGAAAAACTGCAACATGAAAAATCTTGAAAATCAACCTACAATAACTGAATTATTTGAAAATACAGTCTCACATAATATTTCAAAGTTTTCCTGAAAAACTAGTGAAAGGAAAATTTTGAAACTTTTTGCATGTAAAAAGGAAGGTGAGAAGCTCATTTTCCCAAAATTTCAAATTTTTCCAGTGAAAAACAGCAACATGAAAAATCTTCAAAATCAACCTACAAAAACTGAATTAGTTGAAAATACAGTCTCATACATTTTAAAGTTTTCCTAGAAAACTAGTCAAAGAAAAATTTTGAAACTTTTTGCATGTAAAGAGGAAGGTAAGAAGCTCCTTTTCCCAAAATTTCAAATTGTTCCAGTAAAAAATTACAACATAAAAAATCTTGAAAATGAACCTATAATAACTGAATTAATTAAAAACAGTCTCACAAATTTCAAAGATTTCCTGGAAAACTAGTAAAGGGAAAATTTTGAAACTTTTTGCATGTAGAGAGGGAGGTGAGAAGCTCATTTTCCCAAAGTTTCAAATTTTTTCAGTGAAAAATAACAACATGAAAAATTTTGGAAATCAGCCTACAAAAACTGTATTCATTATTCTTTTGGATTTTTTAATTCCTTTAAATTTTTCATAAATTCCTCACCAATTCTCCCAAATTTCCCATAAATTCCTTCAAATTTCTCACAAATTCCTCTAAATTCCCCACATTTTTGGCAAAGAATTCCTAGGTGGTTTGTTTCTTGAGAAATTCAATAAATAAAAAAAACGGAAATAAAATTGGATAAGAATAGAATGTGACATGAATTTCAATTATTTCCAGCGCTTAAATAGCCTCATATGTAATTTTTGTGTCTGGACAATAAAAAGCCTAGAACGGGAAAGACATGATACAAGAAACTCAACGAATAGGAAAAAGACAGAGATAAAGTAGGATAAATTGAACAGTGAGAAGAACTTTGATTATTACAAGCAATAAGAATATTTTTTTCTGAAAACCAAATTTTTTTAGCTATTATGCAGTAATGCTTTGATTGCTTGATTGGTAAAATTACTTTCCACATTTTGTTAGGTAGCTAACTAGAACCTATCAAATGCAGAAATTGTTACTTTTCTATCCTAATAAGGCTCAGTTAATTCATATTCAGATAAACTTGCTGCTAACTACTTATCTGCAAGATAAATTTGAATCTTTAAATTTTCTTTTTCGGTACAGTAAAGTATCACTTCACACTTGGTACAAAATTTCAAATTGCACCCCATTCTACCTCACATTATGTGGTTAAGTGTGCTACTTTCCATTTGCAAATAAGTCCAGTAAAGTGCACTTTACTGCACGCTCGTAGATAAAACTATGAAACAATTGTAATATCCAGAAATTTAAAGCTGAATCCAAAAGACTGGCAACATTGCGCCCAAGGACACCATAACACTGACCTCCTTATCGATTTTCCACTAGAATTTACTCCTCTTTTGATACAGCACAAACATTATTAATGAGATAAAATTGTATGTGATTTTAGGTGTTAATTTTAAGTTGTTATAGTGTGATTGTAATGTGACTGTATTGATTATTTTCAGTATACTAACGGTCATCCTTTGGAGAACAGCCAAAGCAGCTCGCGCACTCGTGGTTTTACCGATGACGAAATGATCGACATCAATACAAATAGTGGTGATCACCGGCATACCAGATTAGAAGATGAGGATGGAATTTCGCATTGTAAGTGGGTTTTAGGAGGCGTTCTGGATTTTAAATCCAGTAGATTTTAGCTTTTCAAGCTGATGAGAAACTTAGCTTGAGTGAGACAAGAAATCATTAGAGCTACTTATAGTTTTGCACAAATTTTACTGTTGTTTAGTTTCTTTCATTGCTTTTTTTTCCAACCTGACAACAAGTAAAAAGTCTTTAGGGTCAAATTGAAGTAAATCTTCTAACTGAAAATAGCTAGAAATTAGAGTTTTATCCAATTTTTGACCATACTTCAGTTGAAGTTGACTTTTTTAGCTTTAGTTAATTCAACTAGACTAGAATATCATTCTAGGCTCTCATAATAAAAGTGTCGTTATTGGGTCTTGCGATATGAGCGAAATTCTTGACGAATTTCCGAAAATAATTGTTAGTCCTAAAAACTGCCTCACCTCATGGACATTTTTAGAAACTGGAAACTTCTCTACCGCAGTAATTTTCGATTTTTTTGGTCTTACACCCTCTGCTGTTATCTCATCTCCCAAATAATCAATGGTTTGTCGAAAAAAATAACATTTACTCATGCGTAGAGTAAGTCCAGCGTTACTAAACACTTTAAGTATTTCTGATAAAGCTCTGTATCCATCGTCAGATTTAACTGCCAGAATCAAGGTGTCATCCATGTAGGCCAGTGCTGTACCTATTAAATCTTAATGATCCAAGAACTAGGTTAATACTTTGCTGAAATACAGCTGCTGGAGCATTTGCTAATCCAAATGGCATTCGTGTATATTTATAATGCCCATCCGGCGTAATGAATGCTGTTTATGCTGCAGCCATTGGTATTTGGTGGTAGCCTGATGCCATATCAAGTGACGTAAAGTGCTTGCTTCCTTTTAAACGTTCATGTATTCTTGGTAACGGAAATACGCCCCTGATTCACTTTTTATCAATTTGCCTATTAACAGGAATTAGTAATGATATTTTACCAAACTAGTAATATACCGTAAAACTTTGTCACCTTTTAAACATATTTTACTCTGTAACTTGCTTGTTTTTTCTATTTTTGGCTTTTTAAGTATACCGACGTTACCATTTTGTTTGCGCAGCCAAAAAATCAGTTGCCCAGCATTCCTAGGGAATAAATAAAAAAATAAGGAATATGGTGACAAAGTAGCCCCAAACAAGGGGGGCTACTTTGTCACCCTGTTAAAAAACTCTTTTAAAACATATAAATGGCTAGACTGACAAAGTAACCCCAGAGTTTTTTTTTTTTAAATAAGATTTTATCCTTTTCTTTAAAAAAATAGATTTTATTGTACAAAATACTTCATCAGAGAGAAAAAATAAGAATAACAAACTCGGAAAACCCTAGAAATATTCTGTAACATTAACAAGAAAACTTGAATGATATTCTTTTTTGGCACATTGGCTCAGTATAAATGGAAAGCCTTAATCTGCAATGACGTCAAGGGTTCTTCCAATAATGGCTTCTTCCTCGGAATTCAGGATGGTTGTATAACCTTTAGGTTTTCGTATGCCTACCATCTATTAGTAAGAGTTCTCCGTGGAATTTGATAAACCCTGGACGCCTGTTTTTTGCTCATACCATCTTGCACCGCGCGCACAGCTTCGGCCACCTGTTCTTCAGTTAAGTTGTGGTAGGTACGTCTACCTGGTATTTTTTCGTAGGTTTGCATTTTTTTCAGTCAATTAGAACGTAAAAAGAAACTAGACTTACCAAAACTAGCAAATAAAGACTTTTAAAAAGAAAAAAAAAATTAGAAACTATCAGCGCGCACAAGGTGACAAAGTTACCCCAGGTTTTACAGTATTGTGACAAGTTATTCAAGTACAAACGAGGGAATTGTTACGGAACTTATGAGTGGTCCTCTGCGGGACGAGCGCAGCGAGTTCCGCAACCATCTACTCACCAATCTACTATTGAACTGTTCAAATAAGACATTCACCTGAAACGTGTAATTTTCAAACTAATGAAAATAACTCACATTTGAGTGAGTCAGGTTAGTTAGTATCGTAATTAAACAACATAATAGTTGTATTTCAAGAGTTTGGAACACTCGAGCTATTCGCTCCGGAGTTAGTCAATCCTGATTTGAAAGAAACAGATGCGTGGTGCAACAAACACTTTTCGAAAGGAATAAGCGCGTAACGCCCCGGATTTGTTCCGGAGCTCCTCCTAGGTGTAAAAGGAATACAACTATTGATGAATAGATGACTGCGGAACTAGCAGCGCTCGTCCCAGAGAGGTCCACCCAAGTTCGGCAACAATCCACTCGTTTGTAATTGAATAACTTGTCACATTATGTTACTAGATTGGTAAAGTAATATTACTAATTTCTGCTGTGAGGAAAGATGGTGAAAGTACAGGACAGCAAAGACTTATAATTTCAGAACCAGTCAGCCATTCACAAGTTTCATATATTTCTTTTTGAAAATGTCTACATAAAGTTTAGTTTAGTGTTCTTAATAAATCCTTGAGGGGAAGCTGTGCTTCCCTAGCTTACATAGTAAACACGCCACTGGTTGAAAGGCAAATTGACAAAAAGTGGATATCTTACAAATTCTGACTTTATATTCCCAGCCGAGAGTGACCCATTTTACCTGCAGCTTTTACCTGTACAGGTAGTATGGATCACATAATCAGTAGTAGGATAGTATTTTTACAATTTTTGGAGCTGAATATATGAGAGACTGTTCAATCAAATATAAACAAACTGTACGTGCATCTCTTCAAGAGTGTCAAAGTCACGAATTTTGCTCATATTGAAAAACCATACAAATTCAAATAGGTATAGCGCCTCCATTGCAAGGAACACCAGCGCCCTCGGTATGGAACCGAGGTCGACAAAAAAGGTACGAAAAACACTCGATTCGTACAGCCATGCGACTGCGAAACACTCTCTGTCTTTTCACCAAACATGAAACACGAAAACACATTTTTTAATCCGTTTTCGCACACAAGAAAGTCGATGAATTCGCGAGCTCGCCGGTTACCGGTTCGAAATAAAAGCCGGTAGTGTTGTGCAACCGAAACAAGACCCGGGATCCCGGTATTAATAATTAACTTTGAACTAGAATAACCCCAGAACCTCAGGTAAGGCGCCTCTTATCATATTGTCTTTTGTATGGTTGTTTTTTGCTACATATTCATTAGTTGCGCTTACAGTCCACGTAACACCGAAGGTGATTCTAAAATATCAACCATTACGCCAACATTTTCTGTTCCTACGAGCAAATTTGAACCTTTTTAGAGTCAAAAATTATAATTAATATAATTATTAGCAAAAATCGCCATATAAAGCAAGTTTTTTATGTGCAGGTTTGTGCGCCTAAACTGTCGCTATCCATTATTCTCTATTTTTGAGGAATTTCAAGGCCACTGAAACCGGCTGTAAAACTTATCGCTGAGGCACCTACCTATCAGTTATTAAAAATAAATTTATTTCATTTTCGCAAATAAACGGAAAAAAGAAATAGTTGTTTACTAAATAAAAAACTCTATTATTTCCGATAAGTTTAAGCATTGCAGTGCACAGATAGATACATTGGTGCTAATAATGAGATTGTAATGATTGTATTACTTAATTTCAAAATAATTTTTCGCTATATTTAATTTTATAATTTTCGCTTTTCGACGATTTACAGGTTTTACGTTACATCCTGCAAATCCAGGTATATACCTTATTCTTAGGTATATACCCTATTTCATAGATTCTTTGCTTTGAAAAAGACTTTCTTAATTTTTTCAATTATTTTCTTGGCATTTCGATCAACATGCCGGAAACTGAGACGGCAAACGTTGCGCTCATCAAAAAATTAACTAAAAAACGTTACGTCTGTGCTAGCCGAATCACAGAAACGTACACGGTTGCACAAAAAGCCAAAACTAGTGACTCTCAAAAAGCACTGCTTAAAGTAAGGTTTGAGAATTTGGAAGAATCTTATTCTGATTTTCAAAAATATCATAATGAAATCATTGGTATAATTGATGATAAGGAATATGACCAGCAGGATGCTGTCAGAAAATACGCAGATAGTTATTATTTCGGTTCAAAACAGGTTTACTTTGAATTATTTCCACCTAGTAGCACACCAGGTAGTTATGTTTTAGCGCCAAATGAATCAAACCAGGCAAGCTACACCGCGAAGTTACCGAAATTAACTATTCCGAATTTTGATGGCAATTTACAAAATTGGACAACATTTTATGACATGTATAGATCCATGGTACATGATTCTACATTGCCCAACATTTCCAAATTTCAATATCTAATTTCATTATTAAAGGGTGAGCCCCTTAGTTTAATAAAGTCCATTCCTACTACGGATGCTAATTATGCAATAGCTTTTAAAACTCTCACAGATCGCTATCAGAATAAATAGCATTTAGCTACAAACTACTGGAATGCAATTAATAATACTTCCACTCAAAAAACAAATTCTTCCAAAGACTTAAGAAACCTACTGGATACTTTTAATGAAAATGTGGCCGCGCTCGAGGTGTTGGGATTTCCAACCAACCAGTGGTGTTTTGTTCTTTTCAATATGCTGCTTACAAGGCTAGACTCAGCTACAAGAACGGCATTTGAAATGGAGCATAGCAAAATTGAGTTACCCACCTATCTACAGCTTACCACTTATCTCGAAAGTCATTGTAGGGCCCTCGAATCAGTCCAAATGAGTTCACTATGTCCAATGAATCTCCACAGGTCCCAAAAACCTCAAAACTCATATCACCAAAGTAACTTGAAGTCTGGTAGCTATTCTGGAACGCCTAGACATTCAGGAGCTCAAAGTCTAGTAGCGAACACTGAATCAAATGCTCACGACTCTCAAATACGACAAAATAACCCGCAATCAATCCCAAATATCGCTAATATGGCTGCGCAGTCCTCATCTCATGATCCTGCTAGGTATAAATGTCGATTATACCAGCAACCTTTTCATTCATTATCGCAATGCCCTCAATTTCTAGGTAAAACCCCGTCAGGGCGTCTAGCTTACGTTAA